CGAGAGAACCTTAGCAAGGTTTCTCACAGGAAAACCTCCTCTGGCTCAGCACCCCCAGTGGGGGTGGAAGCCCTGAAGGTTTCGCAACAACAGGAGCTCAGCGACACAGAAGACAGTGCCAGTGACACTGATAGAGAAGACGAGTTCGTCGCCGAGCCCGAGGTAGAGGAGCACCCTCGCCTTAGAAGGGAGGTGCAGTGCACTCTCCCAGACTGGGCCTTTTCGTGGTGTCATCTTGCCAGTGGCAAGCTGCACGCGAGCCGCGGCGAGAACGCCAAGAGGCTTCTTTGCGGTCGCTGCTTGAATGAAAAGTATACGAGTTGCGAAGTTCGCGACCTCGCACCAGGCCGACCGCACTGCAAGACTTGCTGGAGCAGCAAGTCTTTCGATGCAGAGTGAAAAAGAGAGCGAGTTCACGAGCCTGTCTGTCCTAGTAGGGTCCTGAAGTCTGCTCCGTGTTTGTGTCTCTCTCTCTTTTTCATCTTCGCTTGCCCTGCAGGACGATGGCGAACCTCGTCGACAGTGTCGCGGAATTCTCCAGCAGAGCTGGACAACTCCTAGGAGACGCCGAGTCGGCGAAGCTCTTTGCGGCAGACATCCGCACTTTCGGCACGCTAGCGTACAGCGTCGCTGACCAACCCGACCGCATCAGCGATGCGAAGTTTGAAGAACTCCTCAAGAAGGTCTTCGGGGCGGCAGAGCCGACCTTGGGCACTAAGGCCGCAGCGCGGCGCCTGGCCTTCGAAAGCCTCACCTTCAGCATCCAGGATCTGAAGATGAGGGTAGAGGGTGACAGCGTCACCCCCAAGAGCCTGCCCCTGCACGAGCGCGAGGAGCGCCGCGCCGCGCAAGTCGCGCGCCTCCGGGGCGTCGTCATCGAAGGTGACTACGACCCCGCGCACAGCCTCGTGGATAAAGCCGCGCTCATGCTGCAGGACGGCATCGTTCGTTACATCCCACCGTCGCAGTGCGTCAGCCGGGATGCCGAGATCGCCTCAGTGAGGCGTGACAAGGACTTCCTCTCCCTAGAGTCTGGGGAGATCACAGTAAAGAAAAAGGAGCACAGCGTGCACGTGGAGATCGGCAATGAGCTAAAGCTCACGCAGGCGCTCACGCGCAGAGGTCTCGCGCTCGACAGAGTCGGCGTGTTGGATTTCACGATTCACGAGAGACTCGTGAGACAGTTCTTCTCCGTCCTGAACCGGCCAGCGCCGCCGGGGATGGAGCGCGGCAACAGTTGGCACGTAGTACGGGCCGATAAAGAACTGTGGACGCTGCTCGCGCGAGAGTGTCGCAAGGGTTGCAAACCGGACAAGGATGGTAAGAGGCCACTAGATTCTCTAGTAGAGAACATGTGGTCCGATCCGATTGTCACGCTGCACCTGCTCCCCTCGCCAGTGGCAGACAGGGGTCGCAAGGGCAAGGGCCGCAGCTTTACGCGCAGCGAAGAAGACCGCAGTCGTAGCACGACCGGCAAAGGCAAGAAAGGCGGCAAGAAAGGCCGCGGAAAGGGCAAGGGCAAACGGCACGAGAGCGCAGACCGCTCCAGGCCGCCGAGCATGCCCAAAGAGCTTCGCCACTTGAACAGCGTTTCAAAGTCGGGCAAGCGCCTCTGCTACGGTTTCAACCTGCAGTGCGGGTGCGACCTTGAGACCTCCGGATCCCCCAAGCAGTGCGACAGGGGGTTGCATCAGTGCATGAGCTGCGGCAGCACCGACCACGGAGCCGCAGATTGCCCCAAGAACGCAGGGGCCGCCTGACTAGGCCCCCCTGCCCTGAGCGCGGCAGAGCCGCAACATCCTTCGGCCACTGAGCCCGCAGCTCCTTGCCCAGCAGCGCTGGGCCTCCCTGCCACCGCGCCACGCGCAGGGCAGAGCCCTGACCCTCCCACCGCGGCACTGTCGCTGCACCCGCCTGCAACAAGTAAGCCAGGACGTGCCACAGCGGCGCCGTCGCCTGACGCAGGGTTCGCGGCAAACGCCGACCCCCCAGCGCTCCTGTTGTCTGAACAGCACAGCGTGCCGGCAGACAACGCTCTGGGCGTTTCTCTCCCTGAGCCTGCTCCGCAAGCGACCCCTCGGCCGCCACTGTTTGTGGAAGTTTTCTGCGGCCTCGGTCGCCTTAGTAAGGCAGCCATCGAGAAAGGCTTCTCGAACGTCGCCGTGGATCACAAGACCAAGGCCAGAGGCCTCAAGGTCCTGCAGCTCGACCTTTGCACGCAGCTGGGTCGCAACTTGCTAAGAGCAGTGCTCTCGCACCAAGACCTGAGATGGGTCCACTGGGCCCCGCCGTGCGGCACCTTTAGCAGAAAGCTTCTCGGCTCTAGCGCTGTTTCTCTGTGAGTGTGGGTGGGGTAAGTAGGGGCGGGGTAGGAGGCATCGGCTGTCCGGTGTCTCGTTGCCATAGGGACTGTGGGGCGCGCGTTGTTGGACCCCCTGTTCTCTTTTTCCGGTAAAGTGCGATTCAGCCGCGGTCTCTTTTCAAACTGGTCAGTGGCTTGCTGCTTCTTTGGCTGGCCCACGGTTTTACAAAATTCCGCTGTCTTCTACACTGCATATCCGGGCTTTTGCGCTTGATTTATTGGCAGACGAGCTTGTATTTTCGCCTTTTTCTGCGCAAATTTTGCAACTGGCTACACTGATCTGGGCAGACCTGCCAGCGCTTGACACCTTGGAGTGGGCTATTGAAGTACTTCCGCGGCCGTCTGCATTACAACTGACAAGCTGGACCGCAGTACACTATCCTGACGTATACAGTGCCTTTTTGGAACGTTTACAGCTTGCACATCACCCGACTACATTGGTACAGTGAACAATATGTGGTCATTGCCATTGACTGCTTTGGTACTGTGCAGCTTGCCGACGTTTCTTCGCGATGTTCCCCAGGCCAGTTATTCTTCGATACTGGGCTCCTATACAACAAGGCAGCAGCCATGTATTCGATCAGGTAGACTGCAGCTACTACATCAGCCTCCGATTTGGTCAGCGCCCTATGATTCTTCTCCAGCATCATGGTCATCAGCTTCACTATGTATCAGGCCGGACGACAGCAACCATGCTCTACCACGAACTGGAATGAGGTGGCCGTTCCCTCTACCATTATTGGAGTCGACCTTGAATTTCTGGCCTCTTGCAAACAGGTGGTGGTACATATCGTCAGCTCATCAGGCATGCTCTGGCAGAGACATGGTATTTGCTACCGTACAGCTCTCCCTATGCTCACGATCAGGCCATCAGCGGATTCGGCAGATCCAACATTTCCTTCAGCCTTGGTCAGTGCCTTGTAACCTTCCAATGACTGTCTGGGCTCTGCTGTGCTTCAGGTCGGATGATGGCCTACATACTCGACGGTACACAACTACGAGATGGTGGGGGCATGTATTGGATGCTATTCCGGTCTGTGCTCCCTTCTGTTGTGGCTCAGGTCAAAGCCCTATGCATGATTTCAGCCGGTGTCTTCGCGATATATGGCCAAGGCCCCAACCGGGAAGCATTTCTTGCATTTCTCGCCTGCCTGCAGCTCTTGATGTGTCGTGCATGATCCGTTTCTGTGTTCCAATGCAGCTGCGAGCTCTACCACAAACGGCAATATGCTGGGTGTATTCATGGTCATTGCAATATATCGATGCGTACATACATACGTTCTGTGGTGCTGTAACTGTTGCCGATCGACCCCTAGTCGGAAGTAACCTCCATCTGCCGGTGCATGGGCCTGTTGGTTTCTCTCCGTCTCTGACGGCGAGACTGCTGAACGTCACTCCACTATGCACTACATGCAAGACCCAGTGTACATGGACGGAGTCTCTCGCTTATCAGATCCGCCCATTGCCGATTGTGAGGTCCGAGCTTTCTCACACTCCATGTACCAAAAACGCCTGGCAGATGCGGATACAATGCACCGTCCCGACCTGGCCACGCATGATCTCCGCATGGCAGGACGACACGGCGAGAACTTATGGGTACTGGTATTCAGCTGTGAGGCTACGACTCCGGGCAGGTTTCAAGAAGAGTGGCAGCGACAGTTTGGACAGACTTATCAAGAGTCTTATTTGGCGCGGTTTGGCAAAAGTCCTTGGCTGTGTCCAGATTAGTTTGTACATGCAGCCTGTTGCAGTGGGCTATACTCTATATGACGGTATCGGCCGACGTACAGAAAAATCGCTGCTACGGTTCTTGACACGCTCCTGTACCTTCTGTTTGATTTCTATACAATCATTGCTGCCTTCTCGATATGCTACCCTGCCAGGTCGTATGAGCCACTGCTTTCCGACAATCAGGCGATGGTGGTGGTGTTTACTGTCTGCTATTCCAGCTGGATACTTTCAGATTGAGGCTTCAGCAAATGCGCGGCACTCCGCACACACGTACTCAGGTCCTATGCTGGTTCTACATCAGCCTTTGCACCGGTCTGTGCAACGATCTGGGCCTTGTGCCCATTTCTCTACCGGGCCACAACGAGAGTCTCTGTCACCCACATGCGATCACCCAGGTCGGCGAATCTCTCAGGTGTGGCTTTGGCCTACACTGGTCCGGGGCAGGCTCGATCTTTCATCATGTGCTGTCTTCACAGGCCTCAGTGTCCCAGCAAGCGTCCCATCTCAAGGTCTAAGGATGCCTTTGATTATGGACCCTGGCCCACACCCTGTGACTGCCTTCTTCACTGTGCTGCTGTCCATTGCTCACTGCCCAGGTCTGTGGCAAGCCGATTCTATCAGCCGATGCCAGCAGGCTCGACTGCTTCAGCACTCACAATGGTCAGATGTGACTCGCGGTGTGCAAGCCCTTGCACCTATACGTTCCGACTTGCATGTTGCTGTTTGCATCTGGGATTACAGCGGTTGCTATGGCCAGTATGTACACAATCAGGCCCTACAACGATATTGTCGATTCCTGCATTCTGTGATATATGTCATTTCGGAACACAGATGGTGGTGCTGGCCATACTTATTCCGTGTAGCCTTAACGAGCAGAGTTGAACCATTTTGCGTGGTGCTTACAAGCATGGGGCGAGATTCTCGCGGCGCTCCGAAGCCTCATGACTCTGCCGACATAGTGGAACCTTTGGCGAAGCGGGCTAAGGTCAGAGATGCACTGCCAAGACGTCGACCTATGCAGGCCTCCGACCAGCAAGATCAGACTCCCTCTTCGCCGATGACTCGCACCACTGCTGGTGCCTCCGCCAGTGCATCAGCTGGTGAGCTCAGGCCACGTGAACCTTTGCCACGACATCGGCAGCTACAGGCCAAGTCAAGGACAAGCAAACCCGCCGATGGCCCAGGGAATGCTGCCGTGGCAAGTACACCATACAATGATCCGACGGCTCGTGGACCAGTTGCATCCAGTATAGTGGTCAGTGAATTCTCGGACGGGGTCCTTATTAAACAAACTGGACTTCGGGCTCGTAGCCCATCCTCTACTCCCGGGACAGGAAGCTCAAGGAGGCCTCCTACGCCACCAAGGTGTCTGCGTGAAACTGCCAGTGGTATATCGGTCAGTACTCAGACAAGGCGACCTCCCAAGATGGTGAACAAGGCGGTGCAAGTGGGCAGATGCGGTCTCAAAGTCCAGTCCAAAGCTCGTCCCCGAAGGCCAGATACAAATGCTACAGACAACCTGGAGGAGACTTCTGCTCCTGGTCCAAAGGACACTCGTGTCAAGCATGATGATCTTCGCCGTCAAGCCGCTGATGCAGTGCTGACTTCAGCCCCCTGGAAAAGACGCCAAAAGGCCAGAGCAAGTGCCCGCGAGCCTGCCAAGGATGGTGTTTCCGAGGGATCTGCTCGAACGACCACAACCTCAGCAAACCCTGTGGCCAGTATGACTCCTCTTCCGACTACGACAACCTCGCGCCAGGATGAAGCCGCTGGGAAAAATGCTGCAGCATCGAGTCCTCCGAGCAAGCCCCCGAGCAAAGTCCCATCCACAGCTGCTGGTGCCGACCCACAGGAGGAAATCATGGAGCTCCGCTTCGATCAACTTCAGGAGATGCAACGATCCGCAGCCAGCAGGAGACACGGTATTATACAGCGTGCACGCATACAGCAGCAGCAGAATGCTTCTTCGAGTACAGATGTTGCGGATGCTTCGCTATCGCATGCACCTACGACGGCCTCAAATGCCTCCTCTGCATATATGAAAAAGCGTCCACCGCTTGCAGCCCTCAGCTGTCTCGCATGCTTTATTCTGTGCGGCTACATTGCACCTGTGACAGGTCTGTACCTGGTCCTCCTTATGTATTGGTGGACCTTTGCTGGCATCGTGCCAGCCCGGTCAGATCCCCTGGCAATTGTTGCTCGATGTCTGCGTGGTGCCTACAAAATGCAGTGTCCTCTTATCCACATCTTTCTGTCAGGTCCGGTGATCTTATGGATGGTTATATACCTGCTGCAGGAGTTCTGGTCTCAGATTCACTCCTGCCTTGCAGAGACTTGTTCGTACCTGCTACAACAGCCACTACGATCACAATGGCGGAACGTATGCGATCAGGCCCCTGCTGTTGCCACAGTGCTTTTGTGTGGTGCACTTGTTGCCCGGCATGCTACCCGACACACCTGTCACTGGAGTACATACTTGGTACAAACCGTCGTCACTTGGATGCGATACCTGCACCCTTGGTGCTTCTATACATGTGGATGCCTCTATTCATACACGAGAGTCTGCCTCAGGTTACTCAGTACCACTACACTCCGAAACACCCCCCCACCAGTTCGCTACTGCCGCCCCGGTCCCAAGTCCGGGGGCCCCTGGGGACTATGGATGCTCATCCTACTGTCTCAACTTCTTAGAGCCTCAGGGGTAGAAGCGAGGGTTGGAGCACCTTCGGTGGGTGCTCCGGGAGCCGCGCAAACGGTGCTCCCCGGTCGCCATCAGGCGAAGCTACACCGACAACGCAAAGAACAAGGAGACTTTATCGTCAAACGCAGTTTTCTCAGAGCACAACGTCGATTGCAAAAGCATGGGACCACATGGTATCGCAATCGCTTATACACACACCACGATGAGCTAAAACCTATACCGCTTCGTTCCGGTCCACAGCCGAATGATCCCAATCAGGCTCGGTATGCCCGGCCTCGCACTGCTGTTCCCAACCTGCCATCCTGGCCACTTCAGCAGCCCACACAATCTGTTACTCCCATACAGTCCAGTGATGTTGGCGTGGTTACTATTAATGTTGGAGGCTTGAGCAAGGAAGGATATGACGAATTGGCACAATGGTTGAATCAGCCATCTACACTTCGCAATGTTCAGATTGTATTCTTGCAGGAGACCTGGAGAAGTGCATCTGAATTCTCCACGCAGCATTGGCACTGGATCCTGTCAGGTGCCGGTCAAACTGCCAAGGCCAATAATGGCAGTGGTGTAGCTGTACTGATCAACAACAAGCTTGCCTCATCGTCACACATTCGCTATCAAGAATGGCTCCCAGGCCGTCTCCTCGAGGTTCGCATTACGGAGGACAAACGACGTCCTCTTCTGCACAGACCCATCACCCTTGTGTGCGCGTATCAACACTCCAGAATCTCTCACAGTCCGGAGGTGTATGCTAAACGATTCAGGTTTTGGGAGAAGCTCCAAAAATGCCTGGATGCAGTGCCGACCCGGCACACCCTGATCTTTGGTGGTGATATCAATACTGGTATCTCCCCGATGTCGAGGCTCGTCGGCAAAGGTGCTCAAGTCAGTACCAACCCTGCTCAGGACCAATCCGAATGGCAGGACATTGTACAACTGCACCGTCTTTGTCTTCTGAACACCTGGGGATCGCCGGCCAAAACTGCTACATATGTGGGTACGGAATATTCTACACTGATTGACTTCCTGGGTGTTCGAGAGAGAGACTCCGGGCATCGTGCCAAACTATCCAGACCACAATCACAGATTCACTTGTTTTCATGGCGGTCTGGAGCCCGACACCTGCCTGTGTATTCGGTCATCACTCTCAAGAATCCGTATCATCAAGCAGTGACATCCTCGACACAGTCCCACACAGCCCGTATGGACCATCTTGGCATGGCTCACACACTGCTGCACGATCCTCAGCAAGTAGAGCAATTGCGCAGTGTTGTCAGAAACCGGCTGACTTGTGCTTTACAGGACCAGCCCGTGGATGCAATTATGCACCCTATGCACATTGATGCCATCCTGCGACAAGGATCCAAGGACCTCTTCCCGGGCACACACCTCGGCTCTCGTCCGACGGAAGTATGGGATAACGAACAGACGAAGCTCTCGCTGAAACATGTTTGGCAGGCACGTGCGCAGCTTCGCCGACATACCCTTGGGCCTCCACTTCGTGTTGCCTTTCATCTATGGCGTGCTCATTGGCGACTTGTCAAAGCCCGCAAAGCGCTGCATTCGCAGTCCAACAAAGCGAGACGTGATAAATGGGACCAACAGCTCACCGAGGCGGAGGAGGCCTATCACAAACATGACTCTCATTCTTTCTTTGCTATTGTGCGTAGACTTGCACCACGTCGTCCACGACAGCGCATTATGATGCGTAACAAGGATGGAACACTATGCACACCACAGGAAGAAATAGGGCTGATTCATGACTACTGGCGAGGTGTATTTGATGTTCCGACACTTCCCAAATGCTCCGGCTATCTGTGGCATGGCCTCAACATTACCACAAAGGAGGTGGAAATGGCCATCAGCAAATTATCAATGCGTAAAGCCTCGGCCCCAACCTCGGCTCCGCTCTGCAGCTGGCGTGCCTGTGCTCCTGACATTGCTCCTCTTATACAGGAATATTTGGCACAGCATTGGGGTGAGGGAGAACATGCAGGTGACGAGGACATTGCTAGGTCCTGGCTTGTCTTTCTGGGCAAGCCAAATAAACCCAGCAGCAAGCCCGAAAACCTTCGACCTATTGCTCTACAACCGGCTCCTGCCAAAATCATGGCCCTCCTTTTACGCTGGCGACTGCAACCGTATGTGGAGCAGCTGCTCCACCAATGTCCACAGTACGCATACACCAGAGGCAGAACCACTACGGATGCAATATCCCGTATTGCCCAACACTGTGATTCTGTTCGAGCCAAGGTCAAACAGCAGACACTTTCACTTCATGACCGACGACAGGGCGCTGTACGAACCGTATGCACCGGTGGTGCTCAGCTGACTGTTGATTGCTCCAAAGCTTTTGACAGTTTACCTCGCTGCACTATGATGACCATGCTAACATGGGCTGGTGTACCACCCGACTTGGCCACTGCTATCATACAGGTCCATCAGGCTGGCACTTATCGTCATGGAAACGTGGACGACCCTGAATCCTGGATGGATATTGACAGTGCTCAAGGCGTGCGGCAAGGCTGTATGCTTGCCCCATGTTTGTGGCTCTTGTTCGTAACATACCTCTTCCATCACCTGGACACGACAATGGGTGGAGCTGCTTCATGGACATGCCAGCACTCCACTGCCTTCGCCGATGATCTTCACTTCAAGTGGGATCTTGACGATCCCAAAGCCCTGGATCGAATGAAGATGGAGGTTGCCACGGTACTCTCAGTGCTCAAATCCTTTGGTCTTCAGATCAGCGCAGAAAAATCCACCATGTTGATCGAGATTCGAGGAACAGCAGCTGACGTTTGGTTGTCCAAGAACGTCTACAAAGATGATGAGAACAACAAACACTTTCGTTATGACACGTTTGCCAAGCTCTCCATCCCGCTTGGTACCCAATTCAAGTATCTCGGGGTCATATTATCCTATCGCAATTACGAACTGGCCAGTGTCAAACATCGTGTACAACAGGCTGCCATACACCATTCCCGTCTTCGTCGCATTCTGCAAGGACGCGGGGGCATCAGCCGGCATCAACGACTTCGCCTCTGGCGCATCTGCATTCAGACAAGCCAGCTCTACGGACTCGAGGCCACAGGTGTCACAGAGGCAGGGATCAAATTACTACATGTTCAAATGCTTCGTCACCTCAGGGCCATTACAGGTCGACCCAGGCATCTTGATCGCAGCACTGATCAGGAATTGTTAGACAGTCTTAAAATGGCATCGGTCAGGCAGATGCTATCTCAACGACTTCAGTCGGCCAATACCCGTCTTTGCTCCAACACGGATCTGCCATGCTACGACAAAGACAATATACTGCGACGTATTCAGGCCTTGCAAGCAGGTCTTGACCGCCCGATCTGCACACAGCGAGTCTCTACCGCCTTGACTACACCTATACAGCAGGCTCCGCATGATGATGTTACGCCGCAGGAGCAGAAAGTGCGACTCCAGGAACTACCCGCTGACACCAAGCAATTTCGATGTCAGGTATGCGGTCAGTCTTTTCCGTCTTTACATTTGGTGAAGACCCATGAAGGCAAAGCCCACAAGATCTTGGCGCCGAAACGGGAGCTGCCCCAGGATCGATCCGTCTACTCCATCAACGGACTTCCGCAATGCCGTTTCTGTGGCTACAAATTCACGAAATGGAGTGGCCTCCAAAGACACATACAGCGGAACGGCTGCCCGATTCTTCGCCATGAAGATCCCGCCACCTTTGCAGCAGCAGCGCCCGCGACTACAAACAAGGCTGAAGATCCTCTTCGTACTACACAACATGCATGGGTGGCCGACTCGACCATTGCCACTACCATGCCTTCAACTGGAGATCAACCTCTGGTCCAAGACGTGCAGCTACAGCAGGATGCCAGCCAGTACACGTGGACCAAGGTGCTTCACATGTGGCGTACAAAACATGACTTCAAGAATGTGTGTGTGTTCTGTGGTCAATGGGCAGTGGATGCCAGTGCTCTCAAACAGCATTATGCCAAGCAGCATCAGGCATTAACCAATCCGTGGATCGCAGCATATCGGGCCGAGTGTAAGCAGCTAGCTAAAGTTGCCGTATCTAAGTGCCGCTTCTGTGGTACCACCACCACGGATGCTCGTCAGCATGCCCACAAATGCATACATGTTTTTCAGGCCTACATGCTTACCAGCCACGTCTCAGGTCGAAATGGAGGACATGCCGGACTTCGATGCCGACAGCCAGATCCAGAGCCTCCTCGGGGGCCTCTCCTCAGTCGTGGATCTCAAACCACTTCTGAATCCAACGCCAACACCGGCGCGCAATCAGTCCCATCTGACCAACAAGCGTCCGAGGGCGGAACAGTGGACTCGAGGCACCGGGAGCAAGGGCGGCGGAAAGGGCAAAGGAATGGCCTCCAACGGTACTTTATCACAGGAGGATCTTCAACAGCTCCTCAGGCAGATCGTCGTCCTTCTCCTACGCCAAGGCGACCAACTCAATCGGCTACAGACGGATACCGGATACTATTTGGTCTTTCAAGTCCCGGGCGACGCCACCATGGTACCAGTTCTGATTGCGGGAGCACTCGAATGGCGCAATCAGAAGAAGGCCGACCCGACCAAGCTCACCATGTCTCTCCGCATAGCCCTCATCGGACTCTTCCTCAAGGAGCTTCAGATGCGTCTGGAAAAGATCCGGGCCAACGACCAACTTCAGGAGAAGCTCAAGGAGCAAGGCCTGATGACGGACGAAGGTGCTTGGACATATCGCCAATGGTGTCCAAAGAACAAGGCACTTCAGCTACAGCTCAGCAGGGATCCGATCAAGTGGGACGTCCTGATGACACACATCACGAATGCTCTCCAAGGACTGAACAATCAGGACCACATCACACGTTTTCAGGCGACCAAAGCCTTGGAAGAAGGACAGATGGGTCCCACCCTTCCATTCCTTCTGGACATCTCGCTCAAGCCGAGTGCGTGTCGTCTACACCAGAGCATGAGGGCATTGGTGGACTGCTCGGCCATGGAAGCAGTCGGCGCACGTATTCGACCCCAACGAGCCAAGCGATCTCAACTTCAGGATCAGCTCCAGGAGTGGCTGCGAGGCAGGTTCTATCATGTCGGTTGCACAATCCACACAATATCTGCTATGCCAACTCTTTCTTCATTGCCCTTGCATGGCTATTTGGTGAGGTCTCGATCTCTGAACATGCCCAGGCTCTATTTCAGATCTTGTGTTTTATCTGCCAGCATGGTCTCAAATTGCTGTGTCTGCCTGATCACACGGCTTTCCAGGCATTGATTCAGGAATGGCCACATTTTGACCGACAGCAGGATGTGGCAGAGTTTGCGCAACATGTCCTCGATCGTACATGGCCGGTTCAGAATGTGCTTCCAATGAGTACTTGGCAGTCTCGTGACGAATCAGGATTCTCAACCGATGAAGGTCAGCACCTCATTATGCTTCCGATGCCCTCTCGCAGTTCAAACTCTGAGATTCAGCTGTCAGGGCTGATACAAGCCTGGTCTCAGCAGTCTCCTGCACCAGGGCTGTGGCCACTGCCTCGGTTTGTGTGCCTGCAGCTTCTTCGCTTTTACACAGTTGGTGCCAGAGTTCGCAAGGACCAAAGAGCAGTAACGATTCCACTTCAGGTACGCTTACCAGTATTTCAAACCGAGATTGGACCGCGACCAGCTTGGCATATGTATAGACTTCGAGCCCTCATTGGGCATCACGGCTCCACTCCGCGCTCAGGTCACTACAGAACGCTGCTGATTCACTGGGAGTCCACCCAGGAAGATCCCCAGTTGTATTACACAGATGATTCCTGTATGGCGCGTCGCCCCACAAATGCACAACTCCGTGTGTTGATGACTGAAGTCTACTTGATCTTCCTGGAGTGCGTGGGGTATGTCAGCTCACTGTAAATGCGGTGAAACAACCACTCGGGTGCTGCTTTGTACATGCTTGCATGCTTTGCATTATATCAGTGCCCTCTTGATTCGCCGCCCTTTTCCGGCTTTTCATGCATATGCCAGCTTTGAGCGTGTGTGCAGGTCATTATGCTTATCTTTTCTACATGGCGGCTCACACTTCGGTGGGAACACCGACGGATTCAACAGCAGTTCCAAGCCTTGCTGCTGCCTGTATGCCCTACAATTTACTACATGACGTGCCTTTCGGTATTTATCAGTCCAGACAGCGTGCCCAGTGGATGGATGCCAGAGGCACCTACAATTCACTTGACGATGTACCACACTGTCTTCCGAACCGATGCACGACATCCAGTTTTCAGGCACGTATGGCATCCAGCAGTGGCTCACGTGGCACACCAGCGCAGCTATTGGTCCTGGTTACGGCAACATCTGATTCTCTGGATGATGTACCACATTGTCTTCGAGACCGAGGAAGCGAACCTATCTCGTGTATCACGATGGATATGCTACATACCTGGGCCGATCAGCCTGCATCTCAACTTCTTACTCCCCACCACCTTGCTCAATTTTTGCATCGATGGGGTTTTTCAGCCGTGGATGTTGTTGAATGGGGCATTTATTACTACTTTGAGCAGGCTCCATGTACAGATGCAGAGTGGAAACAGGTGCTTCTTCAGCAACTACACCGCAATGTTTATCAGCTTTCCATGTCTGGTGCCATATGCTATTTCAAACAACTGCTAGTGGGTGCCCATCGGGAGGATTTTTATGAGGAGCTTTACACGGTGGCATGTCGTCGCATACAGCTGGATGATCCCACTACTACTATGACCACTGTTCTTCACTGGCTATACATACTGGCCACGTATGGTACCTTGGTCTGATACCTCTACAGCTGTTTCTTTGACTGCATGACCTTTACAGTCTGGTGGGCCATGCTATCTATCCGCTTCCGATCCACTGCTCTTCAATCTTCTGTATGGTGCCTTTGTTTTCGATGGTGTTGCTTCATCAACGGTCTTTTTCACAGCATGGGACTTCTTTGTACATGTACATACGGTCGAGTAGTCCAGTCCGTCTGGTCAGACCAATGCCATGTGTACAAAGGTCTAGTAGTCCAGTTCGTCTGGTTAGACCGCGATGTATATACGATCGAGTAGTCCAGTTCGTCTGGTTAGATCGATGCCATGTGTACAAAGGTCTAGTAGTCCAGTTCGTCTGGTCAGACCGGTGTGTATATACGATCGAGTAGTCCAGCACGTCTGGTTAGATCGATGACTTGTGCTCTGTCTCACCTTTGTTAATGCTGACGTTGGTTTTTAAAACCACTCCTGCAGTGTTTGCCCACATGTGGCTAGCCCGGTGGGATCCACTGCTTTTGCTCTCTCTCTGAGCCGATGCCACTGTGCATTGTAGCGTAGCGCGAGACTGCTGGACAGTTTGCGTCATACAAAGTACAAAAAGTACACCTTTAGCAGAGCTAGAGAGATTCCCAGGTCGGGAGCGCCAGGCCCTTTGCGCAGCGAATCGCGCCCAGCGGGCCTTAAAGGCCTCCGAGGAGCAGACGCAGCACGAGTTCGCAGCGCGAACAGCCTAGTTGCTTTCATGGCACAGTGTTGCCACTCCCTGTCTCAGCGCGGCGTTTGCTGGTCCATAGAAAATCCAGCTCGTAGCCTCCTCTGGAGGATGCCCTGCCTCAGAGAGGCCTTGCAGTCAGCTCACAGAGTGGAGTTTGACGCGTGCATGTTCGGAAGCATGCGCCGCAAGCGTACTGCAATCCTCTCCAATTTGGATTGGTTCTCCGGTCTAAGCAGGGACTGCGACGGAGGCCACAAACACCTGCCCTGAGGCAGAGCCTCAGTGGATGGTTCCACAGTGTGGTCTACCTCCCTAGAAAGCGCCTACACCACTCAGCTGAGCCCGGTCTGGGTCTCCCTCGCGGCAGACCAATGCGCAGCAGCACTCCAGGCAGCGCCTCTCAGTCGCAAGCGTCTGCGTCGCCTGCGCTACGAGCCAGACTTCAGTGACAAAGTCACTCTCCAAGGCCCCGCAGCGCGGTGCTTTCGAGGCTGGAAGACCCCCCAGAAGCTACCACAGTCGTGGACTTGCTTCCCAAAAGGCTCTAGGCTCATCCAGTGGATCGAAGCCTCCCAGAAGGCCATCATCGCCATCCCGCTGCAGCCTCTACACTGGGTGCGCAGAGCGCATCTCATAGATCACCCAGCCAGGGACATTGAGGCAGTGCCTCTATCCCTCAAGCGCGCCATCGCTGCCGAAGTGCACGAAGACACTGTCCTGCTGGCCAAGCGCCGCACATTGGCATCGATGCATATATCGAGAACTTGCACAGAGTGCCAAGCCCTCGAGACCGGGGTACGTTCGTCGATTGACGCTCAGGTGAACAGCGTCACCAAGCCCAAGCAGACAGTGGCTTTAGCAAAGCTTCTGAGTGAAATCGACTTCCCGGACAGGACATTGGCCCAGCAGGTGCGGGAAGGTTTTCCCCTGCTTGGCTGGATACAACCCAGTGGGTTGTGGCCAGTGCAGATCCTGCCTCCTTCTCTAGATGAGAAGTCAATACTGGAAAACGCCCATAGCATAGGTATGCGCGGCGTTCGCAGCGCTCTGCGCCCCTCGCAGGACGGGGTCTCGGACAGGGTCTGGGAAAGCACAATAGAGGAAGGCCAGCAGGGCTGGCTATCTTTGGAGGACTTCTCGCCAGAAAAACTGCACGAGACGATAGTATCGTCTCGCTTCGGCGTTGTGCAAAAGGGCAAAGTGCGCCCCATTGATAATTTTAAGAGCAGCTTTATCAACAGCTGCTGCGGGACCACAGAGAAGGTCCAAGTCGACAGCATCGACGAGCTCCTTGCCGTGTGCCTCGAGTGGCTGCGCCAGGGTGTGCCCGCAGAGCAGGCCCACCGCATCGTAGGCAGGACCTGGGACCTCAAGAGTGCCTACAAGCAGCTTGCAGTGCAGGCCGCACACAAGAAATTTGCGTGCATCGTCATGGTGGACCCACAGAGTGGGAAGGTTAAAATAGCCCACCTACACAGCATGCCTTTCGGCGCTGTGGCCGCCGTGCACGCTTTCCTCCGCTGCAGCGAGGCGCTGAAAGCTATCGGCCGCGAAAAGCTTGCTTTGGTCATGACGAGCTTCTTCGACGACTTCACCGTTCTTACGCGCAGCGCGCATTCGAAGCTCGTCACTTTGGCAGTGTCCAACCTTTTTAACAAGCTGGGCTGGCAAGTGGCCACAGAGCCCAAGAAGAATGCCGACTTCAGCGAAGTCTTCGACGTGCTAGGCGTGCGAGTCGACTTGTCTAAGCAGCACCTTGGACAAATCTCCGTGAGCAACAAGCCGACCCGTGCAGCAGAGCTGGGGATGGTCCTCAGCGAGGCCCTCGCCCGGGGCAGCATGTCCCCCTTGGAAGCGCAGAGCCTGCGCGGCAGGCTCATCTTCGCTGAGCAGCAAGCCTGGGGCCGCAACACTCGCATGGCAGTGATCTGCGTCGGCGACGTCCTTGGGGATGGACCAGAGCAAGTCCCCCTCACAGAGCAGCAGTGCCAAGCCATGGTGTTCCTGCTGCAACGAGTAGTGCACGGACCGCCCAGGACAGTGTCCATCCATGCGCACAGGAAGGTGCACCTGTATATCGACGGGGCCTGCGAGTGGGAGACCCCGCGACTGGTGCCCAAGTGTGGCCTCGGAGCAGTGCTCATTGGAGAAGGCATCGCCTTCACCTGGGGGCTGCAGATCAGCAGCCAGGTTGCAGCCCAGTGGGTTGTCAGGGCACAGAAGCAGCAGTTGGTCTACGAGTGCGAGCTGTTGCCCTATTTGCTTAGCCTTCAACTGTGGGCCAAGCATATAGCAGGCAGTGACCTGTTCGTCTGGATAGATAACGACGCAGCGCGTACTTCCTTGCACAAGGCCTTCACACGGAAGGTGGAAGGCGCAGCGATAGTCTCGCAAGCGGTGGACTTTGAAGAGTCTCTGCAGTGCAGGGCTGCTTTCTTCCGAGTCCCGACAGACAGCAACATCGCTGATGGCCCCAGCAGAGACTGGTGGGAAGAGACCCAGCGGCTAGGCGCAGCGCGCCAATACCTGCCGCCCAACGCAGTGCCGTTGGCTTTGTCACTCGGCGCGGACTAAATGGGGGGTGAGTAAGGCTTCGAGTGCCTTCAAGGGGGGTGAACCAGTCGTTCGCCTTACCATCGACCAGCGGTCGAGTTTTTCGTCAAGATGCCAGTGGCATCGTTTCGTCAGTGCCCGAAGATCGGGCCCGAACTGACCCCCCATGTCCGCTAGGAGAAAAAGAGAGAGTGTTTTGCACAGGGTTCCTCTGCAGCGCAGTTAGGGTTTCCCAAACGCGCGCTAACGGAAGTTTCGTTGGAAAATAAGCATCCATCATGCGTGCGTGAATGGGTTTTATTTTCCGCCGAAAGTGTAGACAAAGTTTGTCGAAAAAGGAAAACAGTGTTTTCACTTGTGTGTGAGTGACACTAGACAAGCTTTGCCGTGCAGCTTTCGGCTTGAAGTTGGATCTGTGATCCAAAAAGTTTTTATCCCACCCACCACACCCTGTATAGTATGCGGGGTCTGGGACACCGCGTCGGCAGCAGAGCTGCCAGGAGCAGCGCTCCTATGTTCTCTCTAGCCGAGAGGCGTCAGCACAGAGTGCGCTCTTGTACATAGGCCGTAGGCCGTCAGACTACAGAGTAGCAACTGGTAGCTGCAGTGACCCAGTAGGTCAGAGAATGTTTCACCTTATTTTCCCGTGGTACGGGTTATTCCCTGGTAGGGGGGGGGTGAACCAGTCGTTCGCCTTACCATCGACCAGCGGTCGAGTTTTTCGTCAAGATGCCAGTGGCATCGTTTCGTCAGTGCCCGAAGATCGGGCCCGAACTGACCCCCCATGTCCGCTAGGAGAAAAAGAGAGAGTGTTTTGCACAGGGTTCCTCTGCAGCGCAGTTAGGGTTTCCCAAACGCGC